TCAAACCCATCCTCTGCTTCTCGGAAATCGTATCTAGGGTCGCTGTGTGTCAGAACTGACTCAATGGTGCTTAAAAACAGCACCAGCTCCAACAATTAGAAAAATATATATTTAAAAAATGACACCATTTACAATAGCCACAAGACTGTGAGGCACATAGGGATACATCTAAAAATAATAATAAATAAAGAACAAGATGTTTGGGAGGAAATTTTTATGGTTTTATGGAAGGACATTATAGAAAACCTAAATAAGGTGAGGAATGCTGGTATGGCGCTATAGGAAAAGCACTGGATTGCTAACTGAAAGGTGAGTGGTTCAAACCCATCAGCTGCTCCTTGAAACCCCTATGCAGGGTCTCTATGAGTTGGAACCAATTCAACAGCATTTAACAACAACAAATAACTGGAGGGATAGACTATATTGGAGTCCTGATGTGGGGCTGTAGGATAAGTACTGGACTGCTAACTGCAAAGGTGACCCTTCAAAGCCAGCAGCTGCTCCTTGGAAAACCTATAGTGTTTCTATGAGTCAGAACCAATTCGATGACATTTAACAACAACAATACTACATTTATAGATGGAAATATAGAAATCATCATGAAGATGTCAATTCTTCTCAAATTAATCTACATATTAAAAGCAATTTAATAAAAATTTTAACAATGTTAATTGGGATTAGAATTTAAACTGATTCCAAAGTTGATATAGAAAAGTAAAAAATGAAGAATAGCCAAGAAACTTTGAAGAAAGAAAAACTGATGAGAAGCTCTATGAGGTAAGAAGACTTACTATGGCATAAAAATGAAGGTAACACTAAGATCAGAACTTATTCAACTGCAATGCAATTGGTGATTTGCTTTTTAATTAAAAATTATTGCTAGAATAGACATAGACCAAGGCAGCAAAGCAAAGAGCCCTGGAACACGTCCCTTTGAAGACTGAAATTGGATTTCTAAGAGAGGTGTGACAGTCACGTGAGCAATGGCTTGTCAATGAGCAGAACCAGAACAGCTGGTCTCCACATAATGAAATAACGAAGAATAGATTCCTCTCTAAACAAACTATGGGACCTACACACAATGGAATACTACGAAGCATTAAAGAATCATGATGAATCTGTGAAACACCTCACAACATGGATGAACCTGGAGGATATTATGTTGAGTTATCTAAATCAGTCACAAAAGGCAAAATGTTGTATGAGATCACTAGTGTTAAAAGTCAAGAGAAGGTTTTCACACTAAAAGAAACATTATTTGATGGTTACCATGGGTGGGAAGGGAAGGGAGGGTAAGTTACTGACTAGAGGGTAAAGAGGGAAGGCACATGTTAACTTGGGTGCATATATTTAAGAAGATTTAAGAAGAAGGGCAGCAAATACCTAAGTGGGAGATACATCAAACATACTGAAAACCTAAATAAGTTGAAAAGTCTTGGTATGGCACTATACGATGGCAACAGGGGGATAGGAGGCATGCAAGAGTTAAAGCAACAGAGGTAAATACTGTTATAACACAGTCCTGCAATATCAGTGATCTCCAAGTAGCTACATGGATAGATATGCAGGCACCACATCATAAACAACAATGGTAAGTCCTGGAAACCAAATGTGTATGAATCTGGAGAGCATTATGCTGAATGAAATAAGTCAACCACACAAGGATAAATGGGCATGATCCCACTTTATAAAAGACAAAAATATGTATACAGACAGAAACCAACATTCATTGGTAGTTGTCTGGTAGGGATGAGTGGGGAGTTTTCATTGTTGTTGTTTCGTGCTGTCGAGTCAGTTCCCAGGCATAGTTATTTTTGGTAACGCTGAATGTGAGTGAAGTGTGCATAGCTCAACCAAGGTAGATGAGGACATTAAGAAGTACACATACACACACACACTGGACACATTTGGTAAATGCTAGAAAATATATAATTTTGCAACAGCCAAAAAATATGTTGTTGTTGTTGTTAGGTGTCCTCAAGCTGATATCGACTCATAGAGACCCTATGCACAACAGAATGAAATACTGCCCAATCCTGGAAAAACCCCACAATTGTTGCCACGCTTGAGCCCAT